GCACTCAGAATAAAGAGTTGTTGCCCCATGATGCCCATCAGGAGTTTGGGGCCCTGTCAGAGGAAGGCTATACAATAGCCAGGACATCCCTACAAGTGGCTTTAGATTCAGTGGACTCGACAGTAAGGACACAGTAGGATGGAGTGGCTATGTGCTGATAAGCATGGCTTCAAACCTTGGGGCTTCCCCTGGAGGTTCAGTATACATTGCAGGATCTCCCCTTTGAGGGAGAGAGTCTGTTCTCAGAACAGACAGACTGTTATACTCCGTCAAAGATTCCCAAGCAATCATGAAGTCCTTGGGGATGCACAGCCCAGCATCCCAAAGGTGCCTGTTCTGCCCTCAGCTCCCTGAGCAGAGATTTGTGCCTAGGCAGCACCCTAAGCAGCAGCAGCAGCAGCAGCACAGGCACAATAGGAACAGTAACAAGAGGAGAACCTCATCCCAGCAAAATTATCAGGGGAACAACTCCTCCAAGCTTCCTCCGGACCCTAAACAGGTTTTTTTGAAGGTTCCACCCAAGGGCAGAGCACCAGAGCTACCAGATCCATCCCATTTGTTTTCAGTCGGACTCCCACTTCTACCGTGCGTGGGCCATTATTACGTTAGACCGTTGGGGTGGGATATTCCCTGCAGTTGGCATCCCCACCATCTCCCTTCCCTGGCCCTCTTCAGGAACCCCCTCATGAGCATCTCCTGAAACAGAAGGTCTGATCACTCCTCAGACTAGCAATGATACATGAGGTCCCTCTGGAAGTCAGGGGCTGGGGTTTTTATTCCAGTTACTTCCTCATCCCAAAGGCAAAAGGCCAATCCTAGACCTAAGGAACTTCAATCGCTATATATGGAAACTGAAATTCAGGATGGTCACACTAGCAATCATAATCTCTTGCTTGGATGTGGGAAACTGGTTCCCTGCCCTCAACATGAAGGATGCACATATCGATCCTCCTGTGTCATAAGCGTTACCTCAGGTTTACAGTAGTAAACGTGCATGATCAGTTTGTGGTGCTACCATTTGGCCTCTCTTCTGTCCCATGAGTGCCATGTGGCCCAGGCAGCACTGGTCCCCCGGAGGATCCCTGCTCCACCATATGGCCCAGCTGCCCCAGGAACAGCCCCCCTTGGTCATGTGGGCTGGCCACCCCAGGAGCAGACCCACCCACCATACAGTCCTGCTGTCCAGGCTGCATGGCTGCCACAGAGCTGGAAACAGGGTCGTAATGAGGCTTCCCCAGTAGCGACAGCCTCGCTGTGGTCCAGCTCCAGCTGCAGAATGTGGCTGGGGACATGGCATGGCAGAGGGCCATGGCCCAGCCATGGTCCAGCAGGCAGGGGTTCGCAGCCCACCACCGGTCCATAGAGCGATGGTTGGGAACTGCTGACATAAAGCACAAAATCCACTTAGAAGCCCTGTATCTTCCAGGGTTGCAGAATACACTGGCAGATGCCCTCAGCAGGACCTTCATTGTCCATGAGTGGTCTGTCAGGGAAGATGTGATACATTTGATTTTTTCCATAAGTGGGGGACTCCCTGTCTAGATTTGTTCACCGCTCCGGAGAACAAAAAGTGCAGGGACTTTTGTTCATTCCAGAATCATTATCTGGGTTCTATCGGAGACTTGTTTGCACTACACTGAGGGGGGGAGGGACGCTCTTGCACGCATTCCCCCCAGTTCCCCTGGTGCATCAAGTCCTATTGAAAGCCCGCAGATACAGGGCCCATCTAATCCTGTTGGCACTGGCACAGGCACATCAACTTGTTTCTCCACCCCTTCAACTTGTTGGTGGAGGTCCCAGTAGCCCTCCCCCTGTACCTGTACCTCCTGACGGAGTATCAAGAACATTTCAGACACCCGGATCTGCACTCACTCCATCTAATGGCATGGAAACTGGATGGTTCAATGTGCTAGAGCTTCAGTGCTCTGTGTAGGTGCAGGAGGTCCTTTTGGGCAATAGAAAGCCCTCTACCAGGGTGGCATATTTGGCCAAATGGAGAAGATTTTCCACCTGGTGTGCAGCACAGGCCATCTCCCCTACAGACACCTGTTCCACTGGTGTTAGAATACTCTCACACTTACGGACACAGAGCCTAGCACCCTCTTCGATGAATGTGCACCTGGCATCTATGTCTGCCTTTCACCCAGGGATTGTTCTCAATGTTCCCTGTTCAGGCACCCCAAGGTAATTCGCTTCAGGAAAGGATTGGACAGGTTGTAGCCATATTATTATTGACCTGTACCTATTCAGGATGTAAACTTGGTTCTCAAACTTACAGGTCCCTCCTTTGAACCAATGGCCAAGACTTCACTTCACCTTTTCTTGAAGGTAGCTTTCCTGGTGGCCATCCCCTTGGCAAGGAGAGCGTCTGAGTTGAGGGCCTTCTCCTCAGAGCCCTGTATGCGGTTTTTCACAGGGATAAAGTGCAACTCAGTCTGCACCCATCCTTCCTACTGAAGGTGGTCTCCCACTTCCATCTGCCTCGGTAGATCTTCTGCCCAGTCTTTTATCTCAAACCATATTCTAGTACCAGGCAGAGTGCTGTACACTCTAGCTGTAAGGAGGGCCCTGGCTTTTTACATAGATCATACTAAGCCATTCCGAAAGTGCACACAGCTGTTCATGGCAATAGCAGAGTGAATGAAGGGAGACCTGGTCTCTGCACAGTGCACATAATCATGGATAGCACGGTGCATGCACACTTGTTATGACCTGGGAGGGGTACCACCACCACCACTGTTCACAGGTCACTCTAGTAGGACACGTGCCTCATTGACTGCTTTTGTGGCTCAAGTTTTCCTGCAAGAGATCTGTAGGGCCACCACGTACTTGTTCTCTTTATTTTATTTTATTTTAAATTTTATTTTAAATTTTATTTTTAATTTTTTTTTTATTTTTATTTATTTTTTTATTTTATTCACAGCCCATTGTGCTATCAATAAATTTTCCAGGGAGGATGCAGCTGTTGGTAGGGCAGTGCTTCAATCCGTGATTCCTAACTCTGACCCCACCTCCATGGGGAAGCAGCTTGGGAGTAACCTGATTGGAATTTAATGTGAACAGGCACTCAAAGAAGAAAAGTTCCCTGTTCTTGTAACTGGTGTTCTTTGAGATGTGTTGTTTACATCCATTTCAATACCCACCCTCCTTCCCCACTTCCAGAGTAGCCAACAGGAAGGAACCAAAGGAGTGCAAGGTTGGCTATGGTATATATGTGCTAATATAGCAGCGCCACTCTAGGGGTCTCCACATCCAACCCTACGGGAACTGCTAGGAGACGTTTCCAATGCTTGTGCAGGCAGCACATGTACACCTGATTGGCATGGACATTAACAACATATCTCGAACACCAGTTACACGATCAGGTAAACTGTTTTTTATGCCTTGAAACGAGGATTTCTTTTCCCTAGCTTTTAAAATTCTCTTATCTAAGTGGGGATATATTCTCCCTAGGCAGAATAAATTCTAATTCTCATTTGGAATCTGTTAAGCTCTTCATCTTGTGACACAGTTTACACAATGCATAATTAGTATCTGAAAGCTTTTCATTTGTTGCCTTTCAGTTTCATTGAATGTTCGCTTCTTGAATTCTGAGAGAAGATAAACATGTGTTTTACTTATCTTATGCAAACCAATCAGTAGATTTATGCTTCTACCATATTGTCTAGTCTGATCTAAACTAAACAGTCTCTCTTCATATTTTTATATGGAAGTGGGTTTGTGCCTTTATCGTCCTTCATTGAACTTTGTTCTGTTGCTGCTGTATCTTTCCTGAGTGTTACCAGATCTCAAAAAATGTATTCCATGTCAATGTGTACCATAAATGTGCATAACAGCCTCAGGAAACTCTCGCATTCTTTGTGTGCCAACATTCCAAGGTTTATATGAAACTTCATGAAATTTCAGTTGAAAAGTTTTAGTTTGAGAGTAAACAGCATTTTAAACTAAATTACTCAGTCTGTTTAAATGTTTTCAAATCATTCTTTGAGCACAATGATGGACTTGTAGGAGTAAAATAGTAATTGTAGGAGTAAAATAGAAACCAGAATTAGGATCTTGGCAGAGAGGAGGAGGAGGAAGAGGAGGAGGAGCTAAGGCTAGTCTACACTTGCATTTGAACAACCTGTTTACACGTGCTTGAATTCCCCTCTCCTCTTAAAGACAGGAGTTTTGCCACTGCACCTATAAAGCTGATTTATCAGCAGGAGCATTTTTGGGGAGTATTTTGTCTGCAAAAGTGCCAATAGACAGCATTTACAAATGCCAACTTTTAGCGATAGGGCTGTGTTGACAGTCTTGTTGCTAAAAGTTGTATAGTGTAGACACAGCAAAACTTTCACTAGTATGTCTAAACATATTTGGTTAAAGATTTGGCCTTGCAAAAAGAAATTAAATTTTCATTTTAAATACATTTTCAGTTTTCCTTTAAGGATGCAATTTCATTATGAATTTTTGAATGTATGCTTCCATTAAATACACATTTTAAACTAAATATCTTTCACAAGGATATATATATATATATATAACTATTCTCGATGGAAGTGCATTCTGTTGTTTATTTTTAATATGTAATTTTAAAATCTCAAACACCATCTTCCAAAGGTTATATCCATGGAGAAATTTGGTTTACAAAAAAAATGCAGCATTAACTACATCAGCACACACAGCAGCATATAAGACACAAACATATTGTCAGTTTTTCACATCTTTTGTTTATATACCAAGATTTTTATTCAACAGAAATAAACCAAGATATGCTCAGATTAGGGAAATATATCCGTTGTGAAGGATGTACTAAATGGGGCTTGTATAACTCTTGTGAGTTTTGGACAATTCTATAAATCACACTGCCAAAATAAATAGAGAAAATGAACTTTATACGTACTATGTTAATCTCTTAATGAAGCTAACTCCATCTTGTGGTTGTACTTAGATAAGAAATGTTCATCTGCTGGGTTTTTTTTTTTTTCAACTAATCTGTTTTATGTTTGTCTTTTCAGAGTCTGACACAGAATCCAAAAAGTTGTATGATCTTCAGTTAAGCATTGGTAAACCTGTAGTAAGTATTTTCTTGGAAATTTATATATAATCCCATGATTATATACTTTCTTTTGAGAAATTATAAATACTATGAAGTGATTTTATTTGAAATTTTACATTCTTAAGTGGAAAGCACATGCTTTAGTGGTTGGAGCTTCAGGCCAAGCATCAGAAACTCAGTTTTTTCACCTCTGCCACTGACTTGCTGAGAGACCTGGAACAAGTTACTTCCTGTGTGCCTCAGTTTCCCAAACTGTAAAATGGGGATAATGCCTTCCTCTGAGGTTATTGATGTTGGTAAATGCTTTGAGATCCTGTAATGAAGGGCACTCTGGGTCTAATGAAATCTATCCACTGGCTTCACTGAATTTTGGACCAAGCTCAGTTGAGTATTTGCAGACTGTTTGGGATCTTGAAATCTTATGGTGGTATTTCAATAGATTATAGGCTAAAATTCCAGGCTGATTATAGGATAGTCAGGTACACTTAATTTCTTTTGTGCATCAATTGTAGAGTGTAACTACATACTTTTGCTTCAGCTTTCCTGCTATTCCTTGTTATGATAATGCTGCTGCATGACTGCTACTAGTGCCCCATTGGTTGGTTTAGTGCCAGAAAGTTGTGTGAACTTTATTTTGGAGGAAATTTGGAATGCTATGAAAAACTTATAGATTTGGGTACCTACAAAAATATGTACTGAGACATCTGAACAAGTTGCCAAGTCTTCAGAGGTGCTGTAGTCGGTGTGGGATGTGAATACTCAGCTGGAAAACTGTGAGGCTTTGTTTGTGCTTAAACACATGCCTGATTTTTAGAGTCCCAATTTGAAAATTTTGGCAAAAGTACTTAGATCAGAAGTTGCAAGTGGAATAGAAACTTCACATCTCAAGGCCATTTATATACGCTCGTTTTATTTTATATTGTGCTTTTGATATGAGCACCCTAGAATGATTAATAGTTAATATTGAATTAAAACTCAGTAAAATCCTCAGTAAAATCCTTAAAAAAGACTCTGCACTTCCATTACCTAAAAGTAAAGAATTCCTTCAGTGAGAAACTTAATGGGGAAAAGAGCAAGTATAAATTAATTATTAGCATTATTTATTTGCTTTATTATAGCAAGCAAACCTATTTGCATTATTTGTGTTTTTAAAAGGTTTCTGATGTACAAGCAAGATCAGCAGTTCTGTCCTGGAATCTTCCAGTTAGTTCTCAGAATGGAGAAAGTCATGGTCTCACACCAGCAACATTTATCTTTGAAGTAGCAGTATCCAACAGCGGTAAAAATGGAAAATTTAAATCTGTCTATATGTAAGTCTCGTTCCTTAATTTAAGCTTAATGCATATGTTCAAGTACACTGATACAGATTAGCAGTGTTTTTATCAGGAGGTGTACATTGTTTTGCAGACCTACTTTCTTCGCATACAAATAATTTTTAGTAGTATCAATAGGTATTAAGTATAAAGGGCATGCTTTAACACTAAATGTACATTGTATAGCTTTACTTTGTAATAAGCCTGTGTTTTGTAGCAAGTGGAAGAACGATCACTTTTTGTCCCTACAGAGGAGAAGAAACAACAATTACCCTTCCTGAGCTCCGACCAGCAACAGATTACCATGTCAGGTATGTTCTGGGAACTTCCCTAACTAGACTGGAATACCCAATACTGTTATAAATGCGAATTATTAAATCATTTCTTCCTTCTTGAGATGGACATGAATTAACTATTTATCTTTTTTGTAATATATGATTGTCTGTGCGCTGTTGTTGTTGCCACTGGGATCTTAATACTGTCCTTTTTGTAGTACCTAAATTGATACAAATCCTGCCTTTTGCTTGTTTGCATTTTTGTCTACCATTGTCCCTCTGCCTGTCCTCTCTGATTCCAGTGAAAAAGGAGTTAAGTGGCTTTCCTGTATTTCCATGCTGCTGCTCTTAAGGGTAAAGAAGGAATCAACAAGAGAGATTCTTCTAGACTAAGGGCCGCCACAAAGAAAAGAATAACCATCAGCCCTCCTTGACCTTCTTTCACATGTCTAGGAGGAGCAGAAAGTGTTTGAGCTAATCTGTGCTGAAGGGATAAGAGGCTTCCAAACTGCTCCATTTATTGTATTGATTCAGTTTCTAGTTTGGCTCAACTGTAGTATTATTGTAGAATTCTTTGTCTTTTTGATTTTTCAGGAGAGCTGCAGTGGTCTTGAATTATTTCCCTTTGAATTCCAAATATATTGGTTAGTTAATCTCCATGTAAGTTAGTAATATCTTGTAGATATTTATAATAGGGATGTAAGCAACTAATCAACTACTAGCTTCCCTCTCTTTTCCTCCCCGCCCTTACCCCACCCCCCGCTGCCTCCATCACAAAGCTTAAAAGGGTAGCCGAGTTAGTCTGGAACAGGAAAAACTTAAAAAACAACGAATAGTCTAGTAGCACCTTAAAGACTAACAAAACATGTAGATGAGTTTTCGTGGGCATAACCCACTCCTTCAGATGACTGGAGTATCAAAGAGGCAGCAAGGGAGGGGGAGAGGAGCAGGTGCTGGGGGGAGCCAGCTTAAAAGCCAGTTCATTCCAGCTCTGTGTGATAGAGCAGAGGCTCAGTGGTGGTGCTTCCTCTTTGAAATGCCCGTAAGGGCTCTTGTCCATTTCAGTCTTTGAAATGGACATGTGGAGCCTGGGGTCAGCAGGGAGTCTCCCCCTGAACCTAGGCTTCATGTGGTTCTTCCGCTCTTGTACATTTAAAAGTGGAAGTGCCAGCATAGAGCCCTGGGTCAGAGGGGACTCCCCGCTGGTCCCAGGTTCCACACAGCATTCCAACTTTGAAATGTTCAAAAGCCCCTGCTGGGACTCTTGTACATTTCAAAGGCGGAACACGCACTAGTCCTTATCAACTAATCAAATAGTTGATGGAAATCCCATCGACTATTCAATTAGTTAATCGATATTTAACATCTCTAATTTATAATATGAATTTACTTGGAAGACTTTTACTTGAATAATTTTGAAGTTTCATTTATTCATTTTTATATCCTTAATTCTCAAGGCTTTCTAGCATATTTGAATATAAAGTAATTCTCTTCTACTCATCCATCTGGTAGCGTTCTTTAGTATAGTTTTGATAATGAATCCCAAATGTGTTTCATCATTTACTTTGTCACAGTGGTGACACCCTGACAGTGTGCCAACTAAGCTTATGGTAAATATGCTACTTGAAAAAAGAATTTGTTGGAAAATTGTTTAACATGAAGATGTTTACTTTTCTCAAAGGTCTGTAACAGGTTTAATATGGACTTTTGCTTCTAGCATTAAAGATGAAGTCTGTTAAATATAAGTCCCAGAAATGCTAAATTATTTTGTTCAGAGGGATGGCAACAGTTAGAATTGATTCATCAGTGCTTTTATTTTTAAAAACATAAATGTAGAGCACAAGAAGGGAAACAGGTTGACAGCCCTTAAGACTGAGTGCCTCTATACACAAAATGGTTAAATCCAAAGAAACTGCATTGTGAGGATTTCCATGCTGCTGTTCTAATGTTCCTTTATCTCCCTGACACTGCCAACAAAGTGGCATTTGTGGTAGTGATTTTTGAAACATGGATACCAGTCCTTTAGGAATTATAATGAGATTATGGACTCACTTCATTGGGCCTCTCCTGGACAATTACAACAGTGTGAGTTATACTTGAGCCAGTGGTCTATGGAAAAAAGGCTCTATTACATTTCTAATTCAATAAGCTATTTACTCTTTTTTCTCTACTTTCTGCCTCTTAAGAGCATTTCTCAGGCAGATAATCCATAGGATGTTCATGTGATGGTAATCTTGGGATACTTCATTAACTGCACTTTGTCTTTCAGAGTTTCAGCAACAAGTAATTCCATAAAAGAATCTGTTTCCGAATTGGTGAGTTTTACTACAGAAAGTTGTGAACCAGACCCTCCAGCTGCACCTAAACTAATCAACAGAACAAAAAACAGCTTGAGTTTACAGTGGAAGGTAAGTAACTTGACAGGTTCATATACAAGAGGCTTAAAGTCTTGACAAAGCAAAGGTTGCACCTCTGAAAACCAACACACTGTGGACTGGCAAACATCAGTGGTCTGGTGGGACTGTGGATGCTCCTGGTCCAGAGAGCCTGGGAGCCTAATTGCAGGAAGGCCAGCAGTCTGGTTGGGGCCAGGAGCATCCAGGTTGGAGTCCCCAGGAGTGCTGGGGCCAGGCTGGAGAATCCCAGCACCCTGCGGCCCTGGGGGGCCCCTGCCTCTCCAAATCTTCCCCAGTAGTTGCTGGATTGTCCCATAGTTCCACGAAAGCTGTGGACCTTATAGCTTATCTTTTTTGAGGACTACATAATGATGTAACAAAATAACATCAACTCTGTTGCGTATACAAGTGTTTATTTTTCTACAGATCTTGTCAGTTCAAAAATTCTTTTGCAGTCTGTTTTCCCTATCCTTGTTACATTCATGTCACAGAGAGGGTAGTGATAGGAGTCATTAGCAGATCAGTAGTCCTTCCAAGGAGCCTCCATTGTCCTGCTAGTGCGAATTTCATCAATTCACGTGGACGTTCTTAGTCATGTTGAATGACAGACTCCGAAATGCCAGTTCCCTTTTCCTTAACACCACAGGTATGATAACATAAGAACGGCCGTACTGGGTCAGACCAAAGGTCCACCTAGCCCAGTATCCTGTCTACCGACAGTGGCCAGCACCAGGTGCCCCGGAGGGGGTGGACTGAAGACAATGATCAAGCGATTTGTCTCCTGCCATCCCTCCCCAGCCTCTGACAGAGGCCAAGGACCCCATTTTATCCCCTGGCTAATAGCCTTTTATGGACCTAACCTCCATGAAATTATCTAGCTTCTCTTTAAACTCTATTATTATCCTAGCCTTCACAGCCTCCTCTGGCAAGGAGTCCACAGGTTGACTACACGCTGTGTAAAGAAGAACTTTCTTTTATTAGTTTTAAACCTGCTCCCCATTAATTTCATTTGGTGTCCTCTAGTTCTTCTATTTAAGGAACTAATAAATAACTTTTCTTTATCGGCCCTTTCCACACCACTCATGATTTTATATACCTTTATCATATCCCCCCTCAGTCTCCTCTTTTCTAAACTGAAAAGTCCCAGTCGCTTTAAACTCTCCTCATATGGGACCCATTCCAAACCCCTGATCATTTTAGTTTGCCCTTTTCTGAACCCTTTCCAAGGCCAAAGTATCTTGTTTGAGGTGAGGAGACCACATCTGTACACAGTATTCAAGATGTGGGCGTACCATAGTTTTATACAGGGGCAGTAAGATATTCTGGGTCTTATTTTCTATCCCTTTCCTAATAATTCCTAGCATCCTATTTGCCTTTTTGACCGATGCAAGTAGATAGTGAAAGACATCAAGGGATATAAACATAGAGTTCATAAATCAAACTGGGATTAATACATTCACGTATTCCCATACTCTCACAAATAAGGTCTGAAATGCTCACTAAAAGTGTGCTTAAATAGAGGTGTATTAGAAGGGAAAGATGGGATATTATGTGGATTGTACAGTTAAAATGAGTGTTTTAGACATAAGGTTTCTGCCCTTACTTAGTTACCTTAGTAAAATCTTTCAGTTCAGCATCCAAGTGTCTATGTAAAATTAAACTCTGCTTTTAAACCTTTGAGCCTAACATTTTTCCTTCTTTTTTTTATTTTATTTTATTTATTTCAGTCTTCGAATGATAATGGTTCCAAAATAACTAATTTTCTCTTAGAATGGGATGAGGTAAGCCCTTTATTTTTATGATGGAAAAATTGTTTGCAAGTATGAATGCTTTGCAGGTATGAGCGAATGTTTATTGTTTAAGTATGTATTGTTTTGTTGTGGCAGTCAGTATCGTCTTTTGTGTGTAGCCAACTTAAAAAAAGAAATACTTGGACCAGATCTTCTACAGTACAACAGCAGGGATGGGCAAAAGCCTCTGTGGGCCAGATCTGGCCTGCCTAGGGCATTGATCCGGCTCGCAAGGCAATTCCAGGCCCCACCCCCTATCGCAAGGCAATTCCAGGCCCCACTCCCTAATGGGCATGCCCTACCTGTGGCACGTGCCATGGGAGAAGGAGTTCAGCCTCGTCCCTCCTCCCCTTATGCAACCACTTCAGAGCGCTCCCTCCACCTTCAGCAGGTCAGGCTGCAGTCCCAGGCCAGCCCTAGAGGCCAGAGGCACCATGGCCACGCAGTCTGGGCCGGTCCAGGAGGCACCACTGCCACCGCACCTCCGGGACCATCCCTGGGCTGCGTGGCTGTGGCAGCAGTGCCTCCGGGGCTGGCCTGTGGCTGTGGTAGTGGCATCTCCAGGGCCAATCTTGGCCATGTGGCTGCAGCATCTCTGGTCTCTGGGGCAGCCGGAGGGGTTACAAAGCCAGATAAGGTTCCCTCTCATGACTAGATGCCTCCCACCCCAATACCCTCATTTTCCCTCCCTCCCCCCTGCCCCCCCAAGACCTAGCATCCCCATCTTGCTCCAATACCCTCCCTTGTTCCTGTTCCCGCCATCTGGCCAGTCATCCTACTCCCAGCCTATTTCTGTATCCCATCCCTATCCTAATTGCTAGCAGCCCTGTCGTGCGCACTGTAACCCTCATTTTTGTCTCCACTCCAGAGCCTAAGGAGGTCCATAAAATCCACTAACTCCAGAACCCCAGAAAAGTAAATCTGGTCTATGGGAAGCTCTGAACCTCAGTCCCTCCTTTCCCCTCACCCCATGAGGCTGGGTCACCAGAGGAGTAAGGTGTCTCAGTTGGGGCCACATCAGTGAGGGTTGGGGTTTTTTGGAGGAGGGTTTTTTTTCTTATTTGTGTGGTTCCCAACTGATGGTTTTTGTTTTGGTTTGGGTTTTTTTGTGAGTCAGAGACTCCCAATCCAAAAAGGATTCCTCACCTCTGCCATAAATAAAGAAAACATTGAAACCGTCAATGTTGGACATAATATTTTACTTTAAAATGAAGTTTGATAAACTAACATGAGAGAGTTAAAGGTTTATTCTGTTTCATAATTTAAATTAAACCATTCTCACTACCTGCAGCTGGATCAGAAAATAAGGTCACTGTACCCAACAGAGTAATTCTCAACCTCACCCCTTCCAGGTTGGCCCATGGCCACTTCAGAAATTTTTGGTGTGGCCTCCCCCTTCCACAATTATTGTCCACCCCTGTATTACAGCAATTTGAAACAGATTCCATTAAATTATTCTGAGAATAGTGTTACATTTATGCCGTCCTAAGTAATGTTCCTATTATCTCCATTATTAGCAGACAAAGCATAATGAGTCCATTTCATGAAGATAATCATAACCCTCCCTGAAAACATTTTGAAGTTATTACTAAAAATGTGTTCTGTAATGATTATAAAAACGTCAAAGGATTAACATCTTAATTTGCATAGGTATCCAAGGGAGTTTGATATCCAAGGTAGCTTATTGCTACCTTAACTTACACTGACCTAATAGGGTAGTGGAGAGCTTAGAGTCAGGTTTGTCTGCTCTGCCTCCAGCTCATTGCTGGGAGTCTGGTTGCCCCATAGCTCCTGGCAAGCACTCTCTTTTCCCCCTGTTCCCTGCCAGGAGCAGAGGTGGGGGTGGGGGCAGGTGCTGCCTGAGTTTTCACTGCTAGAGAGACATGGGGATGTAGCTGAGCTCTAGCTGTCCAGTTTACTTTCCAATTTCATGGCTCCTGCTATGAAATTGAGAAGACCACAAACAACCCGTGTAAGTAATGCATTAAACACTGTCACCCTAAACACACTGACTTTATTAAGTCAGAGGTGTAAGGCTTATTTCAGTGAAGTAGAGCACTTAGGCCTTGTTTACACTACCCTCTGCCAAATAGCATAGCTGAATTTGACATACTGCAGCATCTTCTGTGTGGTAATGTCAGCGGGTGCTGCTGTCCTGTCAGCTTGGCTACTCTTGTCTGGGTGGAGTACTGAAGTCAATGGGAGAGCACTCAGATCCATTTATCACATCTAAGCAGATGCAATAAATAAGCTGGTGGATTAATCACTGCACCGTCAATCCACTGTGTGGTGGAAACAAGCTTTTACGTTGATGGGAGGAAGGCTGCAGTGTACACACTGAGATAATTAGGTCAACACCTAACTGTGTAGTGTAGAACAGCACCCTGTCAAATTTTTGAGTAGCTCTTTTTGTCATCATTTAGGTTATTGCCATCTGCATTCTAAATCCTTTCACTAGTAGGACTTGGTCTTCCTAGCTGTAATGCTATAATTATATTCCAATAATTCCGCTACATTGTTCTGT